CCAGAGGGCGGCGCCGCCCGGGGAAGCCGGAGGCGCCGGAGGCACCTGCGGGCCGCCATCATCCTGCCCGGTCGGTGGGCAGCACGGTGGGCAGCGGGGTGGGCACGTGCAATGGCAGCACCTGCACCCAGGTGGAAATCAGCCTGAGATGACTGGCCACCACCTGGGTGACTTCTCCGCCTGCAAGCCGGCGAAGCACAGCCGGCCTGGCATCGGAACCACCGGCCCTCCCGCTTCATCCCTCTGAAGTAGCTAATAAAAGCACAGACTTCACCTAAAAAAATACAGATTGCTGGGCCCCGCCCCCAGAGTTTCTAATTCAGGACGTCTGGGGGGGACCTGAGAATGTGCTTTTCTAACAAGCTCCCCAGTGCTGCTGCTGCTGCTGCTGTTCAGGGACCCCAGGCTGGGAATCACTGACCTAGGCTGCAGCAATAATTTTCAAACACGGTGACCCCCCTCCACCCCCATTGGGCTGGCTCCTAGGAGTTCTGTGTTCTAGGGCCAGCTTGTGTACACATTCCAGTGTGACACTGGACAAGCCCTTCCCTGGGGCCTTTTTCCAGCTGTGAAGTGGACTGTCTATCCCTAAGGTTGGTAGCAAGGGTCAGGAATCTAAGGATATGATTTGTAGACTAGCTGTACTGAGGTGCCAGTCTCCTGCGAGTAATGACCTCTTGTACCCATTGACCAGAGTGACAGAATGGTTGCCCCTTCCTGAAAGGGCTTTTTCTTCTTGCAGATACGATTCAAGCAGGCAGCGCTAGGGGCCCTGCTAGGCACTGCTTGGGCGGGGGGCGAGGGTGCAGAACAGTCTTGGAGTGGGAGGGGTTGGTCGTTCTTGAGGAAGAGGAGATGGGTTTTGAAGGGTGAAACCTACTTGCTCAGTGGAGGGTGAGAGCTGCGTCTCCCTCTCTCGCCAGCAGGTGGCGATGCTTTCCGGCCTGACTGAGCCGGGCAGGCATCTAGCCCCCAGAGGTACCGAAGGCCACGGGAAGGGTGGGTAGAGGGACCTGGCTAAAAGGAGGCCCATCAGTTACCCAGAGAAGCAGGGGGTCCAGGCATGAGAAGGGGATTTAGCTGGGAGTTTGTAGTTTCAGACTCTCCTTATTCTGACCACTCTTGCTCTGTGTCCTTGCACACATCATGACTTCTCCAGGCCTGTCTTCTAGACTCGGGATGCTTAGCCAGCAGGTCTCAGGTTCAGCAAAGGTGGCACCTCCTCCAAGAAGCTTCCTGATCCGTCTGGGCTGAGCCACATGACTCTTCTGGGCTCCCCTAATCCAACAGTGTGTCCTCTCCCCAAACAAACTACTGCCCCCAGGAACTTGGTCCAGTGATAGGCAATGTGTAGACACCCATAGTCCCCTCACTGCCCTAGAACCAACCTTCTTCATCATGGTGGATTAAACACTTTTTTAAAATGTCACAAGTTATATGTGAGTATATTCACCTTTAGAACTTTAAGATATTAAAGTGCTAAGTAATTAAATATTAAAAAATTAAAATATTAGAGGCAAGCTGAAGTCCACCATGAGTCCTAGTGTTGCTTGTCCCTTTGCCTCCCTAATTGGGACAGTTACCTTCATTAAGTTGTCATGTGTCCTTCCAGAACTTTTCCTAACTTTTTAGTAGTGTTAGTGTGTGTGAGTAAAGAATGCTTTTCTTTTATACATCATCTTGCAGATTGCATTGCTTCCTGTCAACCTACCTCACTGGTGTCTTTGTTCCCCCGTCTCTCTCATTCTGGTCACTTCCCCAACCATACTGTCTCAAACAGCCCCCCCCCATCATTCTATCACCTTACTCAGTTTTAGTTTCTTTCTGGCCTTTATCATACTCCATGAAATCATTGTTCGTGTCTGTTTATGACTATTTCACCCACTAAAATGTAATTTCTTGAGACAGGACTTGATCTGTCTTGTTTATCTCTGCAGGCCCCGAGCCAAAACAATCGGTGGTACTAAGTAAGTGTTCAGTAAATACCTGTTGTAGGAATAAATTCCACACAGGTTTAGCTTACTCTTTTCATTGCTGCATGGCATCCCGGGATCTGAATATAACCATTTGTCAGTCATTCTCCTGTTGATGGCCATTTGAGGGTTTGCGGTCACTTTGCCGCTGTGAATGCCCTCACCCATCACGGTGCTCTCACCTGTACACCCAGGAGTGGCAGCCTGGCCAATGCACAGCTCAGTTTGCAGCTCCTCAGGTACTGCTGACTTGCTGTC